TTAGGTCATGGGAACCTTAGAGAAGTAATTGACATTCAGTTAAAGTTGCATCTTAATTGGTTTAAAGAAGGCCACTTTTAAAGAAAAAGTTTCTTCTAGGCTTTTGATCCAGCAATCCTGAAGTCTGAGATCACAGATCCATACTTCTAGTATCTGCTAATCCAGGCACACTTCTAGAAAATGCAATATTGTTCCAAATGATGTAAATAAAATATCAATTGTCATAGAAAATTACTCTTCATGAGTCACAACTACTAAGAATGCATTCAGTAATTTTTTTTAATCTAAAAATGATGAGGGTTTCCTATTGATTCAGTCATTTTCTTTTACTCATCTGTCTGGCCATCACTGATAATAAAGCTAAAATTTCCAGGTTTTCCAATTGTAGATTAGGAATTTTGGGACATAAATTTATCTTCGCTGATAAACTGAGCTACTAAAAAGTGATGACAAAAAAGGGAGATGGCACAGATGATGTGCAAATGAGAATCAGGAACAGCACTATAAACTCTAGGGCTTAAAAGAGAATAAAAGAAAAAGTACCTGCCTAAGAGTTAGACCAGAGTGCAGGAGGGAACCTGCAGACATTAGTTGAGAAAAGTGAACACTGTGAAGGAATTGGTGCTCAAACATTCTACCCCTGGTATTCCATCGTTTATAATTTTGTAACTGTGTAATTTATGGTGATTCAGTAACTGCATAAAAAAAGATGTATTTGCAAGAAGATGAAACTATAAAACACTGAAACTTTATTTCCAATGTTTTTCTTTTTTCTAAGAACTATGGAAAGTTAAAATGTTAAAGTTATATTTTTTCTAAGAACTGTGGAAAGTTAAAATGGCATGTTCATGGTTTACAAACTTTCAGATAAAGTGTGAAACAAATGTTCAGGTGAAATAGGAAAAAAACAAAACATTACTTTTAACTATGATTCTGGGAACAGGCATTCCCCGAAGAAGCAAAGCCTTATTTTATTTTCCGAGGAATCACAGTCTTCTTCAGTTTTCTTTAATACCAAAACTGATTGCTCCCTTATTACTTTCCTAAAATAAGGGGAAAATGGAATTTATTTATAGAAATACAGATAGCAAGAGACTGAGATTCTAATTCTGTTTTTATTAACTACTTAAGAAACTTGTTAATAAAATGATGAGAAGAGAATCCCCACTACACCTTCTAATCCATATCTAAATTCTGTGATCCCTTCTACCAGTAATGCCAAGCATTAAATTTTCAACAAGATGAGTAAAAGCTAATTTCATACAATCCTACTTGCAAAATCACAGATTCCAAATGTTTCTTTTGTGTAGGACTTTTAACTAGACATAAGATTTTACCTCATGAGACAATGATTTGCATATTTGGGTAAAACTTTGGTTGGATCATCATGCTAGTCTAGAAATATTCATTTTGCTTATTTTCTCTTTGAAAAAGTAGTTTTATAATGTTTTCAAATGCTTTATATAAGCATTTATGCAATAATTTGATACCACTAAACTTGTGTGTTCTTTTTAATATACATAGAGCACTGTAGCACTGTCCTCCCGTTGTTCATCGATTTGCTAGGGCAGGCCCAGTAACATCTCCATTGTGACACTTGTTACTGTGTTTGGCATACTGAATATGTCACGGGTACCTTGCCAGGCTTTGCAGTGCGGGCGAGATACTTTCGGTAGCTTGCCCAGCTCTCTTAGAGGGGCAAAGGAATCGAACCCAGCTCAGCCAGGCCTGTGGCGCGCAAGACAAACGCCCTACCTCTGTGCTATCACTCTAGTCCCAATGTACATAGAGAACTCTGATAATATAAAATCCCTTGTGATTTTGTAAATATATTCTTTAAATGTACTAATGTATTCGCAGGTGTACAAGTAGAAATATAATTTAATGTATTAAAATATTTTGTGTATTTATCCATCAACAGTAATTTTGTCTTGATGAGTCACTAATTTACTGGCCTCTTTAAGATTGTAGTTTTAAGTATGTGTTTTCCTTCTTTCAAAATTTGTTTTTAAATTTGTCTGGATTTATACTTAGGTCAATTGCTTTATGCATAATGGTTTGCCTATAATCCCTGGGGTTTTACTGAGTAAAATAAGTGAGCCATTTCTTTTTTAAAATGTGATTTTATTGCTGTGATTAAAGAAACATTTCATAAAATACAAATTTGAAAGTAGCTGCTAGATCAAATATCAAAATAATAGAACTTATATATGTAGTTATTTTTATTTGAGTAAAGAATTTAAACAAGTATCCTTGGTTTTAATCTTTTTGGCATCTTACCTGCTTTTCCTTCTTCAGTTCCTCTATGTCTTTCTACCACATCCACAGTCAAAATAGTGTCAACAGAAACACTGGAACATTCAACTAGGTGGTATTGATTGGTTAAATGATCCATTATTATTTTCACAATTTTAATTTCTCCTTGCCATTGTAAACATTTAATTTAGACTCATCTTATCCTCTAGGTGGCATAATTATGAACATTATAAAATAAAGCTTAATGATATTCAAAGAGCTGTCATTCATAGTTTGCTATGCCTTGTCTATGTGTTATATTTAACTGTGTTTTCATAGTTTTAATATTGCAGTGATGTTAAATTTAGGCATATCTTCTGGAATTCCAGCTCACTGAGTTCTTCACCAAAATTTCTGCCATCTTTTGAGGTGCAGAAATTATTTGCATCCTTAGAGACAATTATAGATCATTTTAATAGCACACATATTACAAGTATGCAAATTTACAAAGAGTAAGAATTTTACCTTAATCAGGATTCTGCTAACATAATGGAGCTGAACATACCATTAGTAAAATTATGGACAATGATTGATCAAACTCAGCATTACTTTTTGCTATCAGTTTTGTTCTACTAATATCTTTTCTAATAGGATTTCGTTATTATACATGTGGCATTGTCTAAAGGGCATATGGCTATGAAAAAATAAAAGTACTTATAGAAAAATGATCTTTGATTTTCACATAGCATTCACCTGATAAAACTGCTTGCAAAGATTTTAAGTTTTACTTAAACTTAATTATTAAAGAATACTTTTGAATACTTTTAGTTAAATAATAAATTTAGTATAACTGAAATTCCAGATTTACTCCCGCCTTTAACTGCAGCCCTTAACATTTTCTTAAAACCATCTCTCATCTGTGATTTGCTCATTGCATTTCTCTTTATGTCTACATATGATAAAAGAAATAAAAACATACAATTTCAAATCTTCCCATTGGGAAAAGCAAAAATTTAGGCAATCATCACTACACAAATTTTCAGGACAATTGTTCAACTTTTCTCTTCTATTTCTTGTGTAAGCAGACTGTTTTATATAAGGTGAGGGAGTATATGTCTTCTCTATCAAAAAGAGCAGGAATGCTAGTGAAACTCTTATATCTTCATCACTATTTAAAATAATAATAATACCCCAAGTTTTTATTCACACGCTGCATACTTCAATTAGGTACCTTTAAAGTTTTTAATAATTCCCTTTCTGATTACTCGTTTTTTTTCTGAATTGCTTTGAACACAAGCCCTGTGGTCAAGTATTCTATAGAATAAATTATGCTGGAGTTATTTTTTTAATATTTCTTTTAAAAAATAGATGAAAATTGTGTGGTAGTTTTGTTCTGAAGATTTCAATACCTGGGGAATCTGGGAGCATGTATTTTAGTATTTGAATTGCAACTGCCTGTGCTCATTCATTCTTATTTCTCTCTTGCATATTCATTCATTGAACACACATTCTCCCTTCAAGCCAAGTAAATACAAAATAACCACCCTAAAATATTAAGTATGATTTCATAAAAGAAAACTATTACGCTAAGGAAACTTCTACAGAAAGATTGATTCTCTGGATGCTAAGATACTACACAACACCCGAAGTCCCTCGATAGTGCAGCAGCTTTTGGGTACAACGGTGTCTGATCCTCCTATATCCCTCTCTTAGCCAACTAAAAAGAAATAAGGGCTTTGGCTTATTGCAAATACAAAGAAGATTTTAGTCGCTGAGTTTGGCGCTACTCTCTTCTCCTTCAAGAAAAAGCTTCTTATCCTGAAGAGTTGCTGAGCTTTTCACAGTATAGTATTGCTGCAGGAGGAGATTCTTCACACAGTCAGGTGCCAGGTCCTCAAACTAGAACTAAGATTGATTCAGATTCAGAGGAACAGGTCACATAGGGGCGTTCCCTGTACTCAGTGGAGACACCTCCGAAAAGAAGAGAAGGAATCCTAGCTCTGCAAATAGTTATGCTCTTTCAAAGAACAGTAGCAAAAAAAACTTTAGTTGCAAAAAAATTTTTGCCCCGCCCCCGCCACACACACACACACACACACACACACACACACACACACACACACACACACTTCATCTAATGCTAAATAGCCCAGGTGCAGAGAAACACAAAGTAACTGTGCAGACGCCAGGATCACAGCGTGCCTGTGCCAATTTCCTGACTTGACTGTCAGAGAAGCCAGGGAAGAAGCACCGCGTCTAGGGAATGAGGTCAGAATTCCCCGAATGGATCATTCCCTCTGCGAAGGAACCAGGCGGGACAGGGGCGCTAGGCGCCTAGCTGGGGAAAAGAAGGGTTGGTGGGTCCAGGCGCACTTCGCAGAGGCTTTGTAGGGTGCAGGGGCTATCAGGAAATAAGAAGGGGCAAATGCGGGGACGGTGAAGGAAGAGACGATGATGCCTGGGGTGAGGAGCGGGGTCATTCACCGCTCTAGCGCGTGTAGGAGCACCGAGGCTGAAAGGTGCAAGAAAGCTGGGAGCACCGGCCGCCAGTAACTGTTCCCCGGAGAGAGAGGGCTTGGGGTTGCCAGCAGGTGGAGTTGAAACCCAACAGCCCCTCGGGGACCGCCACACCAGCCCTCCAAGCCCTCCACTACCCGGAGGTCGCGGAATCACATCAGGTGGTTCGGGGCGACCCCCCTTCAGCCCGAGAGGTGCTCCCCACACAGCGCCCCGACGCCCGAGCCCCCACGCTCCGGGATACTCACCGAGCCTGAGAAGAAAGCGCCATCCGGGCTGGCTCCCGGGCTGCGTGGCAGCAGGCGGCGGGCAGGGCCGGCCGGCGGGGGCGGCGCCGTCCTAGGAGTGGGACCTGGGCCGGGGGACCCCCGGGCGGCGACGGAAGCGGCGGGGGCGCGGGGAGCTGCGGAGCGGGAGGGCGCTGGATGCGGAGCTGCTGCGCGCCGCGCGCTCTCTGCCCATCGCCGGCTCCGGCGGCGGCCGCGCGGCTGTGGGGAGGGCGGCCGGGGGAGGGGAGGAGGCGCGCGGCGGGGAGGGAGCGGGGGAGCGCAGCCGAGACGGTGGGGGAGAGCGGGGTGGGGGGTGGGGGAGAAGGAAAGGGCTGATGATCACCGGGAATGGGGAGGGGGGAGGCGCGCCCGAGCCCACCGGAGGTTCCCACCGCCCGAGCGAGGGGAGGAGACGTTCGGGAGGGAGGAGATGGGTGTCTCCCGCGCCCCTCACCGCCGCTCCCCTCCTTCCCCGCTTCGCGCCCTTTCCCCGGGCTCTTCCCCACCACGGCCCACGCCGGAGGTGGCCCAGACCGCGCTGCGGGCACCGGAGGGAGGCCGGGCAGCACAGGGGCGGCTGCGAGCCGAGCCGCTGGCCCGAGGCACCTGTGCCCGCAGCCCACGGCCGCCGGCTCCTTTGCTGCGGCTCCCGGCGGGATCCGCCGGCGCTCGCTCGCTCCCCGTCTCTCCCCTCTCTGGGCAGATTGTCCTCGTGCCCGAGCATCCATGACATCTGGGTCGTCCCTCTCGCTTGCAGTGTGCTTTCCCGGGGCGCTCGTTGGCACGGGGTGTCCGGCCAGAAGGTTTCCAGCAGTGAGCTGACTGTAGTCACGCATCGCTTTTGCCCCCTTGAGCGGGGGTTGTCGGTGTGGGTTTGCTGCTGGGGTAAGAAGCAGGAAGGGTGAAATTTCTCGGATCCTATTGCATCGGACCACGTTACTGGAAGGTTGTTGGCGTGAAGGGCACGGGGTCGGTTGGTCATAGCCTTCTGTATTGTGGTACTTCTCCCTTTCTTCAATTCTAAAATCCACAAACAAAGCACGACTTAACTCGTTTGAGATGAACGGTACTGTCTTTTTTTATGCAAAGCATTCACTACCCCCCCACCCCTAATTCTAAGGGTTATGTTTTATTCTATTGCGATTCCCTTCCCCGCTCCCCCTCATCACCCCCCCCCCACCCCCCACCCCCTTCAGACTACAAATCAGTCTGGTTTATTCGCAAACTACTACAAAAACTGGCTGGGTAATGGGCACTGCGTTTAGAGCTTGTCCACTTAAGATCAAAGGTGGGGGGGGGTGTATACACAAAATAGTAAATATGAAAACAGTTGTAACTCGATAAATTTCCTTGAAACGCAATTTTATTTGATAATCTCTATGGGGCGCTTGTGAATAGACAGGGAGCAAGTATATAGCGTAAGAGATATGATGATTCTCTCCACGTGCCCTCGCCAGTCTAATAAAACTTTCCTGAAAAAGATATGACATGTGAAATGATGGAATTGTTTCTCATGAGAATCTTGGAGGGAAAGAGTTTCTGATTTCGTTTCTGGTTTCTGTCTGCTTTAATTTTAGTGTTTAAAACATTTTGCCTTTAAGAGTAATTTTTTGGAAGAAAAGGAATGGTATTTTAAAACAAATGAATTCTATACTTAATTTCATGCAGGTATTTCATGTATTACATAACAAAGTTACAAAGTTAAATAGGTACACTTTCAAGTTTTAAATGCAGCTTGTGGAAATGTTTTAATACAACAAGGTGTGCCCAGAAAGTGATAGACTCTCTGCAGTCCTAGTTTCATATGAGGAAAAAAAAAAACTGGTGATAAAGTAATACTAGATGATCTCAGTATCTGAACTTGCTAGAATTCTTTCTATGGAATGTACCCGCTCATGAAAATACTCGGTTTTACATGTGTCTGGTAATATGCATAAAAGGAGCACTTCCTCATTAAAGGTGCAAGAGTTATTGAACTCTTCTCATACATACCACTATTTGAACATGCATGCCTTGCTACTGTCTCCAGATGTTTAGAATTGTACTCTTAAATCCACAATATGCTATTCTACCAAAGAAGACTCTAGATAGACAATGGCTGTTGAAGATCTATTGCTCATTTGTACATGTCTTCTTAAAGATTTATATGATAGCACTGATCTATTACAGAGGTAGCAGTAAATTTTTCAAATGAAAATGACTACTTAGCCTGGGAGTGGTTACAGAAAATTAAAACTTTAAGATAAATTTAAGATCTCAGAATATATATTAATTAACTTATATTCATTACTACAAATAGAGATAGAGGAATACACTATTTTTGACAGACTTTTATTTTTTATATTTATTTTAATGACAACAAAAGCCACAACTGTTGATAAAATTCTAGAGTTGAAAGTGATTAGATAACAAAGTTCCATTATTTTCTCTTCCCAGTTCTTCATACTCCTTGTCTTCTCTTGGTAAATAAATCATCTTTGAGAATTTTTACTACTTCCCCTCCTAGTTTGATTATGGAAGAGTAATATCTACTTAGCTTCACTTTCTAGTTATGGAAAATAAAGAAAATGCAAATAAAATGCCTTAAAACTAAGCAAAAATACACAATGGCATTTAGAGCAAAACAAGTTTTTTAGCCTTTAATGTCCAACTAGAAACAAAAATAGGATGATATAAGATGGGATGGGATTCCATCTCTCTCCCCGGAGGAACTGAATTTCAATCTAATTCTCAGGATGTGCTACAATTTTCTATCACTTCTAGTATAGTATTCTTTCTTACTTTTATTTTCTGCTTTCTATACATCCATTAGTATTGTGCTGTTAGCATTACAATATATAAAGTGAAATAAATAAAGATGTTTGTTTTAAATAGGGATTCTGTGCATTTACTTATCCGAAAATAATTTTTCTCATTGAAATTGTTTTGAAATCAGAAAAATCATAAGTCATAGATGATTAGTAATTTTCTTTTTCTGTTTATTGAACATGTATTTGATAAGGGATACCGTCATGAAGGAAATTAATACCTATGCCCTTGGGTAGCTTAGAGAGAGATTAATGATCCAGTTAAAGTGCTCTATCACTAAGATAAATGATATGATAATACTGATAGTGATAAATTTAAGATCTCAGAATATATATTAATTAACTTATATTCATTACTACAAATAGAGATAGAGGAATACACTATTTTTGACAGACTTTTATTTTTTATATTTATTTTAATGACAACAAAAGCCACAACTGTTGATAAAATTCTAGAGTTGAAAGTGATTAGATAACAAAGTTCCATTATTAAAATTAGTAAGTATAAAAAAATCAATCATTTATGCGAAAATTGTTATTCAGTCATTCTGGGTTTGTTATGTCCTCATCTAAGAAATCACTAAACTGTAGGTTACAAGTTGAGCCATCTGTTAGTTTTAGTTGGATTCTAAGTTACTTTGCCATCTAATTAGGTGTTCTCCTACTAGAATTTCAGTATTGAGGAGTTAGGAGATTACACGCTACTATTCATGATTCCTTTCATTTTTTTCTTGGTTTGCAGGGTGTACTGGAGACTACTCCTGGCTAGTGCACTAGAAACTCTCTCAGAGATGCTGGGAGGATATGTGGGAATGCGGTGCCAGGTAACTAAGGGCTAAGGCTAAGGCCCTTTAACCCATGTTTATTTCTTTTTTTTTTTTTTTCTTTTTTTTTTTTTTTTCTTTCTTTTTTTTTTTCCCCTTTATTTTATTTTATTTTTTTTAAAGTTGTAGATTTACAATTTTTTGTGCTTTGGTTTCAATTATACAATGATCAGATACCCATCCCTCCACCAGTGCCCATTTTCCACCACCATGGATAATATCCCTCCCACCCCCATCCCCCCATCCCCCCGTCTCTGTGGCAGGGCAATCCCCTGTGTTCTCTCTCTCCTTTTGGGTGTTGTGGTCTGCAAAAGAGGCATTGAGTGGCAAACATGTTCAGTCCATAGTCTACTTTCGACATGCATCTCCCCTCCTGGGAGGATCCTCCAAACATCCTTTATTTGGTGCTCCCTTCTCTATCCGAACAGCCCTTTCCTCTAGGATACCCGGCTGGCCTCTAAGTTATGGAGTAATCCTCCTGGTGCTGATCTCAGCTATTCTTGGGTATTAATCTCATACTTTGTCACTTTATATCCCCCAGATGAATGCAATCTTTCTATGTCTATCCCTCTCTTTCTGACTCATTTCGCTTAGCATGATACTTTCCATATTGTACCACTTGTATGTAAATTTCATGACTTCATCTTTTCTAAGAGCTACATAGTACTCCATTGTGTAGATGTACCAAAGTTTCTTTAACCAGTCATCTGTTCTTGGGCATTCAGGTTTCTTCCAGTTTCTAGCTATTGTAAAGAGGGCTGCAATGAACAAACAAGTGCAGATGTCACTTCGACTATACATTTTTGCCTCTCTGGGATATATTCCCAGGAGTGGTATTGCTGGGTCAAATGGGAGCTCAATTTCTAATTTTTTGAGAATCGTCCATACTGTTTTCCAGAAGGGCTGAACCAGTGGACATTCCCACCAACAGTGAAGGAGTGTCCCTTTCTCGCCACATCCACGCCAGCATCGGTTGCTTTTGTTCTTTTGAATGTGGGCCAGTCTCTGAGATGTGAGATGGTATCTCATTGTGGTTTTGATCTGCATCTCCCTGATGATTAATGATGTAGAGCATTTTCTCATGTGCTTTTTTGCCATTCGGATTTCTTCTTTGAGAAAGTTTCTGTTCATTTCATTGCCCCATTTTTGGATGGGGTTGGATGTTTTCTTCTTGTGGAGTTTAACCAGTATTCTGTATATCCTGGATATCAACCCCTTGTCAGATGTGTATTCGGTGAATATCCTTTCCCATTCTGTAGACTGTCTTTGTATTTTGGTCACTGTTTCTTTGGAGGTGCAGAAGCTTCTTAGTTTAAGATAGTCCCATTTATCTATCTCTGTTTTCACTTGCTCGGCCAGTGGCGTGGCATCTTTGAAGATACCGTTAGCTTCAATGTCATGGAGGGTTTTGCCAACTTTATCTTCAATGTACCTTATGGTTTCTGGTCTGATGTTGAGGTCTTTAATCCATTTTGATCTTACTTTTGTACATGGTGTTAGGCAGAGTTCTGAGCCTATTTTTTTGCATGTAGCCGTCCAGTGATGCCAACACAATTTATTAAAGA